GGTTAATGCGAGCTGAAGTGTGTTCCGAGTCAAAGCGCAAACACAACCCAACAAAGCCGACTCTGTTCGAGCGCTCGTTCCTTCCTCGTAGACCCGCGAGAGACCGACGAACTCCGTCCTCTCCTCTCGGAGAGAGGACGCTTTTGCACCAGAAGCACACACATCAGCGGCTGGTTGCTCGGTATCGTCCCCGAGAGTCGAACGCACTTGATTTCCACTCGACTCGGATCCCTGGCACGGAACTTTGAACCCCGTTCGATCCAGACGATAGTTGGAGTATCGCCTCTCTATGTCAGTTTTACTGCGCTCGCTATAGTACGTAAGAAGAGTCTCGAATTTGGTTGAGTAGCGTGATAATGGGGAAAGAAATCGATACAGATGAAAATACACTCTACTTTTTTTTTATATTCAAAATACTAGAGAATTATTCCCTTCTGCTCTCTTCGTAAACACAGACGTTGGAGTAACATTTTTAAAAAAGATTGAGATTGCAATCGATTTTCGAGCAATTCGCAATTCGATTTTTTGCTTGCACGGAGTTCGATCTCTGTAAAAGAAGAACAAACGTTTTAAAAAAATGAATCATCCACAAAATGCACGTGTAGTTTCCCTTGAACCATTTACCATTTCCATACGACATTCTCTTCAGCCAAAAGGAAGCTCGCCAGAATCGCGTACAGTACATACATCTCTCAATTAGCAATCGTATTGGAAATTGGACGCCCTGAATCTATCTCGCTCTTCGTTCGTACGTTTCCACGTCTGTTTCACTCACTGTGGAAACTGCAACAACGCGGTATCTTCCTTCAGCGAGGGCGTAACATTGAATGTTACCGATCTTCGTCATGCTCGCTCGCGTGGAACCACGCCACGTTCTATCGCATTTTCGCGCGTTGCCTTTGCCAGTGCCAGTCCGCGGAATTCAATTTTCGGTGAGAGCGTGTTACCCGGCCAGTGTCGAACAGTCAAGGTACAAAGGATCGTTTGGCGAGAGTTGTCGTTTCAACCGGAAATTGTTTCGTTTTAAGGCCGCGTCACGAGAGCAGCGCGAAACGCAGACGGTATTCCGTGTCGTAATGATCGGCTCTTTTGTTCCATTGTCTGTTAATTTTCGCCACGCAACGCATTTCTTACGCATCTCACTTCGTCTTTTTCACTGCGTAGTTCCTGGAGTTAAATGCGGGATTGAATTCATCAAACAATTGGCCTGCGATTGTTCATTTTTGACAATACCGGTAAAGTAAAATTCGGACAATCTGTTGGGAAAATTCTATTTCTCAATTCTTCAACACTAGGACTAAAGTCATAATATTTGTAGTAAAGAAATTAAAGTGCAAGGTACAAAAAGAAAGAGTTGAAGACACAAGATCTTGTACCAATATATTTTATTAAAAATCACTCGAGTATCTAAAACTACACTGTCGTATAAAATTTATAAAATTTCTTTACAATGGAAAGTCACATTTTGACCACTTTGGTAGTTCTAACCAAGTTAATTCTCATTTCTCTGTTCTGTATTTTTCCAATTCTTCTCAAAATTTGTTCAAAATTTTCTCTCTCTCTCTCGAGGAAAATCTTGAAACGGAATTTTTCACAAGATTCCGATCGCTGCGTCGACTCTCCTTGAACTTTTGTGTAGCAAGGCAACGATGATGATCACAGTCCGTCGAAGCTATTAAAATTCCAAAGTTAACCGTTGATCCTCGATATTTCGTCTCGCCTCTAATATAATCGAATAAAATCCCAGCCTCGTTCTGTCGCCGTGTGTGTAATCGTTTCGCGTACGTAAAACTCGAGACGACGGCCGTTATTACGTTTCGGTCGTGTTGGCGGTAATAAAACACGGAGCTGACGGGTCAGCGTCGACCTCGACCTCCAGGTGGCAGGATATACTCTGTGGAGGGAAAAGGTAAGCGAGTAAGAAAGTTGACTGACTAACCAGCCATCTGAGACCGCTTCGTCGATCCGGCAGATTTCAATGGATCTCCTCGAGGATTAAAGATCAATTAATCGTACGTGATCAATGGACGTACGGCCATTCGCTGGCATCAAAGGTCAGTCTCGCTAATGAATCCGGCAATTAGTTACCGAGATACGTGCACAATCGTTCGCCGGGCGACCCATCGACGAGATAGAATTAAGTTACCGTGAAATTGTACATCGACGGGAACCAGCGAATTGTTTTTTTTTATCACGGACGCTGAACGGGAGACCCCATGGCGACGATAAATCATCGTTACGAGATTGGCTAGGCGAAATCAAGTAGCGTCGATATATTCCGTGGAACGTCGATTATTAATCGACGAGAGAGGGAACTCGCGGGATTTTTGTCAAGGATCGATCTAGTCGGGTAACGAACAAGATTGCTCACTCGTTGCCACGAGCTGATTTGCATCTTAATTGGTCGTGTTTCGTTACTTAACAGAGTGAAGTCCAAGGTGGTCTCCCAGCGAGTCTTTCGTAATTAATAACGGATAAGCTCTCGGGTT